GTGTGTGTGTGTGTGTGTGTGTGTGTGTGTGTGTGTGTGTGTGTGTGTGTGTGTGTGTTCGCCCGCTGACGTATCATCTGCTGCTGTGCAGGCTTTATGAGCTGGCACACAAGGGCTTGTGAACCCAGTGACTGGAACAAACTCCAAGCTGAGTGAGAGGTGGCTTCAACCTCATTGCCCCAGCCTGGCTCCATCCTTGCAGCCTCTTGGCCTGCCCAGCCAGCGCTGCACTTGACAACTCCTCTCTAAGGAGAGACCCCGCAAGAGGACGCAGGGAGCAGGGATGGGGTGACACAGTAAGCCGGACAGGGAAACAAACACAGGGGCAGAGGTCAAGAGAAAAACCCAGGGTTCCACGGAGAGACCACTCAGAGTCATGGCCACAGACACCCACACCCCATAGCATACACACTCATGCACACACACCCCACACTCTTCGTCACAGAGACCAAGGGAACAGATACAATTGCAGAGAGACAGAAGCAGTGAGAGGAAAACCAGAGGGAAACACAGAAAGACATGGAACAAACCCAGAGGGACAAAACCAGAAAAAAATTATATGTAAACACTTTTGGGCCCTAAATCAGTTGTTCTCAAGGGAGAGTACTTTGCTCCCTGGGGGACCTCAGGCAATGCCTAAAGCCACTTTTGATGGTCACAGCTGAGCGGAGGGGCAGGGGTGCTGCTGTCACCTGATGAGTGGCGGCTAAACATCCTCCAATGTGCAGGACCGCCCCACGCTACAGAATTACTTGTTCCAAAATATCAGTCTCGGGACTTCCCTGGAGGTCCAGTTGTTAAGACTCCACGCTCCCAATTCAGGGGGCCCGGGTTCGATCCCTGGTCGAGGAACTAGATCCCGCGTGCCGCAACGAAGACCCCACATGCCACAAGTAAGACCTGGCACAGCCAAATAAACAAGAGAGCAAATAAATAGATACTAAAAACAAACAAGCTATATCAGCTGTGCCCAGTTGGAGGAACCACGCCCCCAAGAGAGAACTGAGCATCCGGCAGCTCCGATGCTCCCAATCGGGGCTGGGCTGCAGCCCTCCACACCTATTTTGAGTCTGTTTTCGATTTCCCATCTGCCCTGGTGACCCTGCAAAGGTAGCACTAGGTGGAGAGAGGTGAGAGAGGAAAGGAAAGTTGGCAGTGGCTGCCGGGTCCTCCTGGAGGTCCCCTCCCCGCCATGACGAATACCTCAGCGCCTTATCCTGAATGGGGGTCTTTGCCTGGAGCCCAGCAGGACAGAGAAGGTGGGTGCGTCGGCAGGCAGACACACGCTGGCTTAATGGGCACAAAGGTCCTGGGTTCAAGGTTTGGGTTCCAGCGTCTTCTCCCCACCCAGCCTGAACCCACTGACCCCTGGGTGGGTGCGGAAAGCAGCTAATCTATGGCACTGTTTGCTCAGGCTCTGTGGCCTGGGCTTGGGCCCAACAGCAGGAACGGAAGTGCTGCTGTCTCTTTAGATTTGAGGGTGGCCCTCCTCCCCCCGCCCACAGAGACACCCCACCCCTGCACCTAAGCTTCCCTTCCCCCCTCCACACAGTGCACGGGTGCACACACAGGCACAGACCACACACACACACACGCGCGCGCACTCCTTGCTGTACCCTCCAGCTCTCTGAATCAGAGACGGGTAGGAAAAGACAGGCTCTGAGGCCTGCGAGTGACCCACACATACCTGTCGTTTTACAGGCCCAGGCCATCGGGTCCCTGGCTCGCGCGTGGGCTGGGCGGAAGCCAGGGCCTCCGTTCCTTGCTCGCGCGTGGGCTAGGCGGAAGCCAGGGCCTCCGTTCCTTTCCAGGGGGAAGAGGGGTCTTCTTAGGGCTCCCAGCTTGCTCTCATCAGAGTCCTGTGCTGTGGGACCAGGATGGGCTGTGCTTCCTGTCATCAGTATTCAGTGTGACTGTGCAGGTCCCTTCTTTCTGGCACGCTCTTTGCAAGTTGGAATGAGGGAATGTGGGAGGGCAGAAAGATGGGGGTTTTGGCATCAGGGGAGTGGCTGAATCTGGCCTTTGCTCCAATTGCCTCTGTGACCTTTTGGGTGATTTCCTTTACCACTGCGAGCTTTATTTTTTTTCTTCCATTGGAAAAATGCTGATAATAATACCTGCCTCACAGGTTCGATGTGAGTTGACGTGGGAAGACTTAGTTAAGGGTCCGGCAGGCAGTACTGGGTGAATAAATGCTGTCTCCACTGGAGGTGGCCAGAGAAAACATTTGCAATATTTGGGGCATATTTATACTAAAAAGTTCTTTGTTGTTTATCTGAAATTCACATTGAATTGAGTGTCCTGTATGTTACTTGGCAGCCCACTCCTTATATGTCGTGTTGGGGACAGTCTCTAGAATTCCGGAGTAGGGGTCCGCGAACTCTGTCCAGGAGGCCACATCCTGCCCACAGCGTCATTTTTTTGCCCTAACTCGTGAGCTCAGAATGCATTTTACGTCTTTTAAGGGCTATAAAAACAAACAAAGAGGAATGTGTGTCAGATTCCGTATGCCTGTATGCAGCTTGCAAGGCCTGGAATATTTACTGTCTGGCCCTTTGCAGGACAAGTTGGTGAGGGGAGTGAGAGTTTTCAGTATTTATGTCCCTATTCTGGGCCAGGCGAGAGATTAAGCAAAGCTACGTCTCCAGGACGGGAGGCCCAAAGACCCTGTGAGGAAGATGTGTTCACTGGGGACCGTGGGCCCCTCAAACCCAGTGCCCTGCCTGATTATCCCGTCCTCCCTCACTGACTTGAGTCTCTCAGGCTAGACTGACCTGTCCAGGCCTATCTATAAAAGGTCACCGGGTGTCCCAAAGTCCAAGGAGGCCTCTCCATTCTCTCAGCAGGCCTCCCCTCCCTGCACTGGCTGGGGGCCGGGGGAGTGACCCAGGTGGAGACGGAGTTTACCCAGGCCCCTCACAGCAGGCAGACCTGGTGGCCTGTCTCTTTAAATCTCAGGTAATTTGGGAGGAGTGAGGGAGTGTCTGCAGGGCTTCTGCTACTCCCAGGAGGAGCTCCTGCCGGGAGAAGCCCCAGTGGCGGGTGACCCAGCTCTGCCAAGTATAACAAACTCAGAGGCCTCGGTGTCCGGCTGGTGCACCTGGGAGGCCCTAGTCGGGACCTCTAGGGGAGAAGGCGGGCCGGCCCTAGGGGCTGCTGATGTGGCCCCAGGGCTGAGTCCAGGCGGGGTCTGGCCTTGGCCCCAGGCCCCCCAAGGAGCCGGCCCTATACTCCATGGGGTTGCCGCTGCCCAGGGAGAAGGGGCACATTCTCTGCCTGTGGAGAAAGTTCCGTAGGTGGTTCCAGAGACAGGAGTCATGGGCTCAGAGGCGAGACGAGCAGAACCTGCTGCAGCAGAAGAGGTAAGCCTCAAAGGGATCTTCCTACACCCGCAGGCTTGCCCCTCCCCCCCCCACCCCCACCCCCGGCCCCAAGCCCTTTTTGGCACCTCTGTCTGGGCAGACTTCCTCCAGGCCTGACTCCTTGGGAGCATTTGGTCTCAGGGGTCTTGGCCTGTGGGGCTAGCTTCCCAGCACGCCAGGTGGAAGGGGAGGGGGCTGGCATGGGTGACACAGGTGTTTGCTAGGTGTTGACACGGGTGTTTAAGATCCAATCAATTAGGGAAGCCTCTCGTGAGTACCTCCCCGGAAGGCCAGGCACCTTGCTGGGCCTGGGAAGGATTATGGCATCATAGACCTGCAGCCTGGAGGTGCTTTAGCTCTCTGCCCCCTGCCCCTAGAACAGTCTCTCGGACAGAAACACATAGCACGTATATGTACACATGTGGGAATGAATGAATGAATGAATGGAGCAGAGAGGGAACTGCAGGCACTAGTAACCACAAAAGAAGACAAAATTTGCTAATCATCATTCCTGTGCATTTATGGCATCAGCCGTTGACCCAGGCCCTTCTCTGGGTCAGACTCCTGGGGCAGGTAGAGGGGGGTTGGTATGGAGACAACAAAGCTGGGACCCAGCCCTGATATTTATTACCCTCTGCTGGGGGAGAGGGGCACGGGTAACGGGCCCAAATTCCAGATGTGCTCAGAGCTCACTGTCAAATGCAGGTTGAGGAATTTGAGAGGCTCTAGAGTTTGAGCCCGAAGCAAATCTCACTTGTCGCTTCCAGCCCCCGGAAACTGCCCTAAACTCATCTGATGGTCCTCCCCGCTCCATGGCAGCTTAGAGTTGGGAACTGGAGAGGAGGCGCAGGGAGAAAGCTTGAGGCCACGCCAGTGTGTGGTTTCTTCTGCAGTCTGAGCTCTCCCCACCCAGGGGCTGGCAGGCTGGAAGGAAGCCCTCCCCTTGGGACTTTCCTGGGCCCCTGAGAAAGCAGATATTATGTCTATTCAAAGGGGAGGGCCCAAGGTGTTTGTGTCTGGGAGTCTTTCTCCACCTCCAAGTGCAGGGGTCTGCCTGAGCCTGACGGGGAGGCTGGGGGCTATCTGGAGGCCCTGCGGTTTTCTTTCTTTTGCTCAAGGATTCAGGGTTGGAGATGTGCCCCTTTTTTTGAGTTTTGGCTTCCCAGCTCTCACACCAGCTGCCCACCTCTCTCCCCCCAGGCCTGGGAGAGTGGGGGCTGAGCACATGTTTGGCGGATGACATCTTGAGGCAACAGAATGGTATTGTTGTCGGAGACCGGGCCGTCACTTGTTCCATTCATCCCTTTCCCACTCTCGGGACCTCGGGGCCTGGGGGAGCCTGGCGGGAGCCCAGAAAGGCCTGGGGGCTTGGAAGTGGTGGCAGAGGCTCCCTGTGTGCCTATGTGTGGCAAAGTCAGAGTGACGGACCTGGGCTGGAGCCCACGGCTGCTTTCCTTGTCTTTTCTGCCCCTGTTCCTTAGGGACTTGGGGTGGGCTTTCCTCTGGCAGGCCTGGGCTAGGAAGGCCTGATGTCACCACTTGGAGGGATTCTCCCCCCTTCCTGATCTCCCCTGTCTGATTCCAGAGTTCTTTGACCCCCCTCTTCCCGGACACCAGGATCCTGGGATATTGATTCCCCTCTGGGTGGATACTGCCCGGAAGGACCTGAAAGTGCCGGGAAGGGGAGTGTCGAAGGCTGTGCCATCAACCAGCTTAAGGGAAGATTTGTGGGCAGCTAGACACACGTGAGCTGACCATGTGAATGAGGACAGCGTGGCCAGGTGAGAAGGGCCTGTTACCATCCCCCCACCCCCTGGGAATGAGGCAGACCCAGAGTGAGCAGAGGGGGGCTCTGGGTGGGGTTGGGGGTGGAGCATGGTCCAGCAAGAAGGGAGCCATTCAGGTCTCTCCAGGAATATGGGGAGCCCAGCATCCCCCTTTCTCTGGTAGACTCTTCTTGGGTCTTCGTTGCCGCTCCCTCTGCTTAAATGGGTATCGTTGGGATCCACGTTGAACCGTCACTTTCTCTCATTTCCTCTGCATCATCTCTCTCAGCTTTGCATCGTCTTATTTCCTGAGACGCAACGTACTAGACGTGGAATGTAATACTCTCAGCTAGGTTTGCAGAAATGAACATGACACGTTCTCTGCTCTCAGGAAGCTCCGTTCTCATGAGCAAAACGCACCAGTAGGTATCGACTTGGGTTAAAAGTGAGCTTAGCGAGTGTTCTAAGAAGGCTGTGAACAAGCATCATGGGACCCTTGAGGAGGACAGTGCAGGCTCTGATTTTGGTTGGTGTGGGGTGTGCTGAGCAGCTTCCAGGGTCCGTCTACCTAACCTGACCCTCCCCCGACCCCCTCGCTGGCATGGTCACCCTCCCACTAGTTGGCAAAAGGCAGGGAACACTGGGGGTTCTTTTCTGTTTAGATAGATCCCTGTATTCGTATCTGTGAACTGGCGTGTCTGTCAAAAGTAAGTGCTGGGACCCTGCAGCACATTAGGACTCTCTGCCTCAGTAACGCTCCCTGCAGGAGCGTGCATCTACCACACGCAGGATGCGGTTTTGGCAACTGGAAAGGCGGCCAAATCTGGAATTAGCCACTTTTCCGAGCTTTGGCTTCTTCATGCCATCGCCCAGAACCTGAGCTGGAGGGAGGTGGCCCCAAGTGGCCAGGGCACGCCTCCTCCCCCCACTCAGGGCTGCCCTTCGCTTCACCTGTGGTCACTGCACCAGCTGCTCCCCCAACTCACCCGCACCGCCAGCAAACCTGGGAAGAGCCATAAAACTAGAAGAACCACATAATTGAGTGGCGAGAGCCCGAGGCTAGGCTCTCGGCCAAGCATTCTGCCTTTAAACTCTGTCTGATCTTCTGGCAAGGATTTGGCTTGGCTGCCTCGGTTTCCTTTGCGGAAAAATGAGAGAATGATTCAGCCTGTATCACGGGGCTGGAAAGAGCAAACGTGATAGTAAGTGAGATGCTGCTTTGGAAGCTAAAAAGCACATTTAACCCATGGGACTGTTGTGGATTAAAAAGGACATAAGGGGGCTTCCCTGGTGGCGCAGTGGTTGAGAGTCCGCCTGCCGATGCAGGGGACGTGGGTTCGTGCCCCGGTCCGGGAAGATCCCACGTGCCGCGGAGCGGCTGGGCCCGTGAGCCGTGGCCGCTGAGCCTGCGCGTCCGGAGCCTGCGCTCTGCAACGGGAGAGGCCGCGACAGTGAGAGGCCCGCGTACCGCCAAAAAAAAAAAATGGTCGAGTCGCCCGCTACCCACTCTGGTCCCGTTCCAGGCCCGGTGGTCGAGTTGCTCCCCGCCCCTGGGTCTCCCCAGCCCCTGGGTCTCCCCCGCCCCTGGCCTCTGCTGCTGGGCAGCGAGCCCCTTCCGCTGGCGGTGACGAGCGGGTGGCGGGCTGCTTCTCGGAGTGTACTTTGCAACCTTGACGCGACCGATGGGCGTCATGAAGCACCGGAAATCAGGACCGCAGCCAGAGTGATGGGTGCTGACAGTGCCAGGGGAACAGACGGTGGGCACGGGGCACAGAGAGCTTGCGCCCTTTCGTCAGGACGTCTTGGGACGCCATCTGGTCTCTCTTTGCACCTGCCTGCTGAGCGTTATCATCTCGCTAGTTTTCCTTTTGCCTTTTGAAATTTCAGTTGGTGAGCTTCTTGTCCTGAAAATGTCCTGAGATCATTTTTGTTCCTTTACCCCTGCCCCTCGCTTTTTTTCAAGGCTGAACTCCGAGCAGCTGTGTTTTTAGCGCTAGAGGAGCAAGAAAAAGTAGAGGTACGAAATCTACAAAGTTTAATGACTGTATTCGTTTATGTTTAATTTCTAATTACTTCAAAGCCACTCTAAAACACTGTTTAGAGGAGTGTGTAGCCGGGGACAATTTTGAACTAAGGATTAAACTTCTTTACTGTTGGGAGAGGGTCAAGATTATTCTCTTTTCATGTATATTTTAGAGGTTTGGAGTAATCTAAAGAAAGTTAAGGCACCACAACTCTGAGGCCAATAGTAAATCTCATAGATCTCTTTCGCTAGGGGAAATCCAGAACACCTGAAGAAACGGTTTCACAGTAAGTGGGTTTACTGCGGGACCCCTTAGAACCTTTAATATGCTAATGTGCACTGTGAATCCCCACCAGGTGGGAGGAATATCGTATGCAGCTTTTCTCCAAGTTATCCGGTCACCCAGTTATTTTATTTCATTTTATTATTTATTTATTTATTTATGCGTTACGCGGGCCTCTCACTGCTGTGGCCTCTCCCCTTGCGGAGCACAGGCTCCGGACGCGCAGGCCCAGCGGCCATGGCTCACGGGCCCAGCCGCTCCGCGGCATGTGGGATCCTCCCGGGCCGGGGCACGAGCCCGCGTCCCCTGCATCGGCAGGCGGACTCCCAACCACCGCGCCACCAGGGAAGCCCCAGGCTTCACCATTTTTTTTCTTAGTTGAGTATTTAATGATTTGTAAGAAGACACACAGAGGGAATTTCTTACTCTATTTAATGTGAAAAATACTTTCCTAAAAAGATTATGAATAATTATACCTCAAGGTCAGGGTTTCTCTACCTTGGCCCTTTTGACGTGTTGCGCAGATGATTCTCTGTTACGGGAGGCTGCCTTGTGTAAGAATCTTAGCAGCATCCCTGCCCTCTGCCCGCTAGATGCCAGTAGCACCCCTTCCTGCAGTCATGACAACCAAAAATGTCTCCAGACATTTTTGCCCAGTTCCTTGGGAGGCAGCAGGGGATCACCGCTGGTTAAGGACCACTGCTCTAAATCACTGTTTGTAAGTAAGAGATTCTGGTAGTAATGTTAAGCGTTCTACTAAATAAAGTGAAACTCTCCCCTGGGAGGGAGCGAGTATAATTTAACCATTAAAATCAGGAGACATTTTGGCAATATCGTCTCTTCTTCCTGCCGTAGGGAGGTGTCTGGTGAACATGTGTAGATTTTGCTCCAGATCTAAACGTCTGTGCTGGGTTGCTTTGGAAGAAGCTGATTTCCCAGGCACAAGAATCTTTGGATGCGTCTGCCCTGGTGCCTTTTCTATGGGGCACAAGGGTAGGAAGGTGGTTGGGGGCGGGGGGGGGGGG